CCAATCGAGAATTTGTGGAAAGAACTGAAAACTGCTGTTCACAAATGCTCTCCATCCAACCTCACTGAGCTCGAGCTGTTTTGCAAGGAGGCATGGGCAAAAATTTCAGTCTCTCGATGTGCAAAACTGATAGAGACATACCCCAAGTGACTTACAGCTGTAATCGCAGCAAAAGGTGGCGCTACAAAGTATTAACTTAAGGGGGCTGAATAATTTTGCACGGCCAATTTTTCAGTTTTTTATTTGTTAAAAACGTTTGAAATATCCAATAAATTTCGTTCCACTTCATGATTGTGTCCCACTTGTTGTTGATTCTTCACAAAAAATTACAGTTTTATATCTTTATGTTTGAAGCCTGAAATGTGGCAAAAGGTCGCAAAGTTCAAGGGGGCCGAATACTTTCGCAAGGCACTGTAGTTCTGGTACACTACTTGTTCTACTGCTATTCTGGCTGTGTAGACTGTGTTTCTCTCAGCAGCGATGCCTATCATTTAGGAGAACACTGCAGCGAGTCAAGGTCGCCTCAAGCGTGAGTATAAACAGCTCTGGCACTGTGCTGATGTCATAGCTGGCGCATGCCACTTCCAATGCAGCGAGCATAAACGAAGCACAACTGTTAAATTAAACTTAACCACTAACTGTAGTGTTTGTCTGTAGGCTACAGCACAAGTAGGAAGTAAGAACAAATAATGTAATTAAAACAGACAAAAAGGAAACCTTTAGGAAGCCTGCTTACTGCAGAAGCATCACAGCACAACGAGTCACTGTGCAGAGGTACGCAGTGGGGGATGAAGCCGTACAGATGATGGCTCAGAAGCAGTTTGCAGAAGAAATGCAATGCAGCTGGATTAAATAAAAATAAAAATAAAATCATAAAAAGAACAATAAAAATTAAATAAAATTATACAGTACACCAGTGTGACCTTTCAGCTTGCTTTTGAAAGAACTTTAGGAACTCCATTATTGAGTTTGCAATGGCTGATTTTTGACTGAGAAGTGTTGACTGACTGTGCACAGCCATCCTTGGTATGGGCATGTGGTGTGAGTAGAGCAAAACTGGAGTGGACCATAGGGCAATGCTCCCTTCTTCTTCTGGTGAACATGGTCTCTAAACTATGGGCCAGTGTATGGGCCAGATCTGCCTTGGGTCTGACAGTTTTTAAATCACTACTCATTACTTATACTTATATTCCAGTTTATTACTAGATAGTGGAGTTTGATATGATGATGGTTGTATGTTATCTGTTTTACTGTGTAACTTTTAAATTTTTTTTAATTATCCCATTTCATTTTTATTTGTTTATTATCACATTCATGTGAAGTACTTGATCAGCAAGACGTTTTGAAAGTGTTAAAGAAATTTCGATTAGCTTTGACTGAATCTTATATTTGTTAAGCCTGTTGCGTCTTCTCCTGCATGTGTGAATAGTTTTGCTCCATTCTCATCAAACTCAGTTGTCTTTGGCATATGAAATGTTAGATCCTTGCAAAATAAGTCCTTTTTCTGTCACAACATTGTACTGTCGAGAAAACTAATTTCTTTTCTTTCTTTTTTTTTTTTT